GATTTTTGTTACCAAAATCTTTCAGTGCCATAACTGGCCCAGTTGTGTTTTGATTTTTGTTACCAAAATCTTTCAGTGCCATAACTGGCCTAGTTGTGTTTTGATTTTTGTTACCAAAATCTTTCAGTGCCATAACTGGCCCATTTGTGTTGTGATTTTTTGGACCCAAATCTGGCAGTGCCACAACTGGCCCGGTTGTGGTTTGGTTTCTGTGGCTCGAATCCATCAGTGCCACAACTGGCCCAGTTAAGAGAACTCTTGATTATTGTTTATTAGGTTTTTAGCAGCTTTACTAACACAGAAAATATATTTCTGCCAGCCAATAAAAGTTCTGGCCCTTGGTTCTGTTTGTGCTCATTAGTAAATACCAGTTTTACAGATATGTGATCGTGAGTAATTCTCAGTAAAACATAATTTCACACTTTGGCTTAAAAATAGCTTCTGTTGTGTTAACAGACAAATTCTTCTGTTCACCAAACTTAAACTGTAGATTAATCCAAACCACATTTGTGTTCAGTTAATTCTCTTTAACTTTAAATAATTTTCAGTATTGCTACTCTGACGTGGTTTTATCCTGAGTTTTCCCTCGTTATTACACAAATAAAGCAAACTGAATCAAAAACCGATTAAACAGCTACCTCTGAGATTACACCTTCAGTTAAAGAGGTTTGTTAAATAACTCGCTTTGTGYTCCTGTTTTTTTTATTTAATTTTTGTCACGTTTAAGAAAAGCACAAAAGCTTCAGGCAACAACAGAATTTCAATATCTTTACTAATCGTTTCTTTCATTAAAGATTTGGCTTCAAGCTGTGGGCATGAAATCTCACTGTTTTCCATCGAACTCAGATCTTTTTTGTGTGTGTGGATTCACTCTTTAAAAGTGCAGCCAAGAGGATGATGTCAGCCCCTTGTTCTCTATCGAATCCAAGTTTAGACGGGGGGGCTCTATAAATGTAGTCGACAAGAGATAGGATGTGAAAGTGTTCCCTGATCTCTTCTGAAGCTAAATGATGTCATGGAAAAMAACTCTAAAAAACTACTTAGAAACCCTGCAGAACCATCTGAACGTGTTGGTCTAAAACAGTTTTAGAGGGTATGGCTCTGATTAATCCAACTGCAGGGTTAAAAACAAACTGCAGAGACCATGAAGACCAGACTTCTGGTTCAGCCCAGACAATCAGARGAGGAAAGATCTGCAGTAACAGATGCAGACGTTTAAGATTTATGGTAAAGTGTCAGCAGCTTCAATAGATCATGTTTAGACCTTACGATTATTGCATTTCTTTCTCTAAAAACCGAGTCCCGGTCTGTATGTCCCAGCTATTTTTGAACCCTGTACACCTCCAGCTGGTGGTGGGATGCCGTCATTTTGCAGTTAAAATAATCAACATGCATTATGGGAGATGTAGTTTGTGATCAATGCTGGTTTTGGCCTTAATTGTAGGCCCTCTCACCCATTATTTGCTGGGGTATTCAAATAATTTGTTTTCCCTTCTTGCTTCTGAAATCAATGGGTGTCCTGAGACTTTTGACTCACCCTGTATAAAATTGTGCAGCTGTGACTGAAGCAGCCGGGTTCTAGATGATAACTGTTCACTGTGTAAGAATGAGCAATCTTGTTTTGTTTCTTGGTTTCTTTCAGATGCACAGATTTGTTTCCTTTTGTATTTGAAGATCTGAGTTGTGGGATCATCATGATTCAGTTCTGTCAGCTGAAGTAGAGAGTTGCTGCTCAGGTTGCCACTTACAAGGGGAGAGGGTGGATCCTGGGACAGCCAGGACTCYGTAGGACTGAGGCAGGCATTAATAATAGTCTCTGTTATGTAAAGGGACAACTCTTCCCGTTTCACCTCTGATCCAAAACCAAACTCTGTTCAGTCCAGTGAGCTGAGAGTGGAACGTTGACCAGGAAAAACCCATAAATCTTTCCTCCTGGCACCCAATCATGCTGGATCTGACGGAGGCCCGGAGAGACTGAACGATGAGGCTTCGCTCCAGGAACCACCAGCAGCGTTTGGAGGAGCGAAGCTTGTGCCCCCCTGCTGTGATTCTGTGSCAGAAGGTTAAAAAAGATTTGCAGATTTGTTTACTCTGCAAAGCCTGCACAGTACAGGGACGTCTCAGGAGACACAGAAAGCATAAGCTCAGAACTGAAGCTGCAGACCTGAGATCTGATCGACACGAGACGTCAGCAGAATCTGCTACCGAAAGCCTCAAATTACCCAAATGACCSAAAGTTAAACCTGTGATTAACTTGTAATTAATCAACAGAACTGTGTCATTAGGCTGGATCACCGAAATACAAAACAAATATTAGATTATTTAGTCATGGAAACTACATTTGTAGTTTGGCAGAGAAAAAGACGCCTAATTTGAATTCCCATTCTGCGCAGACATGCTGAAATGCAAACATGATAAAATTAAGCTGACTGAAACATCCTTAAATATTCCCTCCAGTCAGACGGCTTCAAATAACATTCAGACACTATCATGAATCATAAGAAGAGATCTTTGAAGAATGTGACACATTTACAGCTTTTTTTTCCTGAGGTGAAATCCCGCCATGAAAAGATGCTGTTTAGACAGCTGCATTTCTCCTCCTCGTCTAACTTTCCAAAGTCTGAGACAAGCAGGGAACTTAAGTGGACTAAATGAGTGTCACCAGGTCCTAATGCCATTAGGCGCTCTTGTAATTTACTGAAACTGATTATATTAGAGGGAAGACATGRTGCTCCCACGATGCCCCGAACAAAGCCTGCCTTCAGGCTGCAGCTCCTCTTAAGGCAGAGAGAAAAACAAGATGAGGAAAAACATGAGTTAAAGTCAGAGGAAGACATGCAAATCTGAAAAAATAACAGAGCAGGAGCGTACAGGGAAAGAGTTTACAAAACAGAAAAAATAACATGCAACTTATGACTTTTCTTTAGAAAAGTGTGTCTTGTGGGTAAATAAGTAAATGCTAAATGCATTTTTTTAAAGTATGTCCCCACTGAGTTTAGTACTTTATAAAGAAACAGCTAGCATGTGTCAAATAAGGCACATCCTAGTATAGGTGGCTTGAGTACAAGTACTTGTACAAAATGTCCCAATACTTGGGACCAATTGATACTAGGATTGGTATTGGGCTTGATGCCAGTATTTTACAAGTGCTTGTACAAAATGTCTGCAATACACGGGACTAATACTCTGTTAAAATTGTGTTACAATTTACACTTCAAGTGAAAATTTGACAGTTTCAGGTTCAAGAAGTTCAGACAAGCTGGAAAAAACATATTTTTTACTTTAATCTGAAAATTGGCAGACCAGTGTGTGGTGGTCCGACTGATTGTCAGACCTCATATTCAGAGGGAACAATGCAGGTTCCGTCCTGGCCAAGGAGCACTRGACCAGCTCTTTACCCTCACTAGTGTCCTCGAGGGGTCATGGGAGTTCGCCCATCCAGTTGATGTGTTTTGTGGACTCGGAGAAGGTGTTTGTGTTACTCTAGGTACACTGTGKGGTGG